GTGGCAGAAAGGGCCAATATATATCTCCAAAGGAACACATGATTTAGAGCAGCAGCTCTACAACGTTATACCCACAAGAACTAATAAGGAGTCCAGCAGAGGAGATAAAATCCCTCTCAATTATTTACTTTTTAAATGGAAAAGAAAGAATATTTTTTTTTCCCCTGCTGGACACATCTTGGCAAGTCTCAGTAAGGCAGGTAAGTAAGTCCTCCTGAGCATTGGTTGGAACTCAAAGACCTCTGGCCCTATGGCCCTTTCTGCCACAGGAATTCAAAGAAAGCCTGTGCAACACCTGAGTTCCAGGAAATGGTTAGTGGGGCACTGCTGCTACAGAATGAGATACCATGGCTGCCCCAGATCTTAAATTTTGCTGTTGTTGTTTGTCTCCTTGATTTCTGTTTTCCCTCATAGTGGTAAAAATTCAGTGTAGATTGATCAATGGTGTCTTAATGGGGAAATATTTAAATGGGCCCAATTTGTAGTACAGGAACAACTACAATTAGGCCATAGAACACTTAAGCCAATACTGTTTAAATTTCAGAGATATTAGTCATTCAATATATGGAGGACATTCTCTTATCCTGCAGGTCAGTCTAATCTACACTTACATGAATGCCTAACTTTCACGGTAAATTAAAAGAACAAAACTTCTAAGTGTGTGCTATTTCAACTGGCTATGTTCTTATCTGCCTGACACTATTAAGGATTTGGCTCTGCTGTTACGTTCTTTCTGAAAACTCGGTTAATTTCAAAAAGAAATGTAACTGTGAACAGAGTGGGTTATTAGCTTATTAAATAATCCTATTGCTGAAGTGGCAGCTCATAGAATTAATCCCATCCTGGTAAACAGCCTGCAAAGATTATTATGCCACTAAATAAAATGCAGGTTAATTGTTAAACACTAATAATTGACAGGTTGCATTGGCATGTTACTCAGGATCTATAGATAATCACTATCCAAAAGATACCCTTTCAAGATATTTTTTCTTATGTACTCCATGAGTTCTGCCTAAAATTATATCTAAAAATCTTATAGAAATTACTTTTAATGTTATTGTAAATGGCTCTTCAAAAGAACAAGGAGCTTATATTTTATATGCAAATTCCACATCTCCACACAAAGACTGTACCCGTCCTGGGGTTACACAGCTGAAGAGTCTAAAGTTACTAATATCAATGAACTTGTGTAAAATATCTCCCAAACACTGAATATTTTGACTGACCTTATGTATAAATTAGCACATGAAGAATAGAGACATCTCTTTGTCCTCTATAACCTCTTTATTTCAAGATTTATAAATTCATTGGGTATGGTGAGAAAAATTTATGACAAAAAATTTAGCTTAAAGCTTGTAACAATAGGCCAATAGTTAAATGTATACATTGGTAATTTTAATTTACTACAGTATACTACATATATAACCTCAACTCTTGTTTAAAGAACAGGTTTACTCTTAGGATAAGGCAGTGAACGGTACCTTTGGCAGGCGTCTGACAAGGTGTGCCGCTAAGAGATCACACCACACAACAGATCTAGGGCAAGAGGTTTATTGAGGAGGAGAGAGAGGGAAAAACCACTCGAAAGTGGGGACATAAGAGAAAGATAAAGACAGACCAACAGGTATAGACAGAGAAAACAAAAAAGACATAGGGGGAACTAGAGAAAGTGAGAGAACAAGATAGAGAGAGCAGCGATATCCAGAGGAACCTTTTAAAGAGTTTGCATTGGTACAAAACTCCTATGCACTGCACCTGGCAGCAGCAGATAATGGCATATACTGCTCAAGCTGCTGCCTCGGCAAGGCAGGCTGGCAGAGTGCTTTTTCTCTAAAAATACATTAATACAGTAAGAACAAATATGGAACAATTATGAAAATTATAATGTAATAATTAAACTCATGATGTCTAGCCCATTTGTTTATGGCAACTTAGGAGAAAACATTTTATATCTAGTTTATCTTAGTAAGTTTAGAGTACTGTATCCAAATCATTTTTTATTATAGCTCGCATTTGACAACCTAAAAATTCTTAGACCTAAAAATATCTTTTGAAAAGTTTTTTTTTTAAATCTTAAACAACTTAAGCTTAATTGTAAGACTAAACTATTTACTCTTCAACCTGATCAGAGAGCTTAGAACAAATAATATTACCTGTGTACATAGGAAGTACAGAGAAAACAGCTTCCAAAGCATAGACATGATAGAGGCAACTGGCTACCCAGACAGAATCACCCAAGTTTTTTCAGCAACTATTGGAGCATCATCTTCAGCCTTCTAGCCCAGAATATCTGACAGACTTTTTGTGAAGAAGGAATTATGAAGGACTACCTACCTTGTCTTGGCAAGGTTTGGCAATCGACTTCTATTGAGTCCTGCTTGTCCATAGCTTGGACAGCATATTGTCTGTAGTTGAAGCAAGGGCAGTTTTTGCCCAGTTACAGTGTGCTACATTGAAGCAAACTCTATAAGGTGATTCTTTGATGCCTTATTCTTCAAAGTCAAAAAGGGGTGCTATCAGGAGCTGACATGTCTCATTGTAAAAAAAAAAAAATCCTTAAAATAATAAAAAATATCTTTATATACCATATTCTGTGTGTCTCTGAGATTTTTGAAGACCAGATAGTTACCTACAGTATATCTGAATAGGCAAACATTGGCTGTTTCTAGCTATTTAATATTGGTTCAACCATGGAAACATATTTCTGTAATAAATTAGACTAGTATCTAACATGACCATGTGTTTGATTGTCTGACTGTTAATTTGCATTACTTAAGTATCCTAAACAATTATCCTTAAAAGCAATTTGTAATAATTGCTTTTAAGAGGACTAAAATTTTATATTACATTTTTAAAAGAGTTGCATAGGCACAATGCCTTATACAAGAGTTGAAACATATGTATATCATATTATCAAAAATAACTTTAAATTTGTATCAACACACAATAATCTAAACCAATAAAACCTTAAACCTGTAACAATATACAATAATCTCTATCAATGTAAAATATTTTAGAATAGCAAAAGCTTTACAGTTGAAGAGGAGATGCAATAGTTGA